TGTCTGTTTTGAGGAATCAGAATTCCCAAAATGGGCTTCGGCTTTCTTTTGGTTTCCTGTTGGGTTTTCCTGTTGGTTTCCCTTTAAACACGGAAGACAGGGGGATCCGCCAAAAAAGAACACAACCAATTGGAGACAGCCCCATCCACCTGGGAAACCAGCTTTGCCAATGGCTCAAGCTTGACAGTGGGTGTCAGGCGCAACGCCATGTTCTTCCGTCTGAAACTGCCGGCCGGCAATGGCAACATAAAAGTATGTGTGGAGCTACGCTGATATGCTTGAATAACGATGGGCGCAGCACGAGTATGCCACGCCCCCTGTTTCTATGTGCCAAATTCCTTAAATTTTTTCAGTAGACATACCCCCGGGTGGACTTGGGGGTGTACCCTTGGTCCTCCTGAACTCGGGAGCCGATCTGATCCAAGCTTCATGGCAGCTCCGTGCCACTCCAGCTTCTTCAGCTTGGGCGTCAGAGCCGCCGCTTCCTCCGGAGGGCTTTTTGAAGGAGAAAAAGCCGCCGAGCCGCTGCTGGAAAAATCGGGGGACAGAGACATGGAATGAACCCTTTGGGGATTCACGAATAAAGGCAACCATAGATGGTCAAAAGGGGTTTTTCCCTCATGCGCTGCCTATCGCACCAGCAAGTAACCCTATGCCTCGTCCTTATTTTTCAAACTGCCCTGGTAGCAGGGTTGGGCCAAAACCATGTTTCAGCTCTATATTCCAGTGTGACAGCCAAACAGCAACCGACCGATGCTGGGCCTTGGTAGGCCACACCCAAATGCTGGCAAGAACACAGGACATGCAGCTCGAAACCTTGGCTAAGGGAGCATGTGCACGTCATGCAATACTTACTTGTGGGAGGGTATCAAGAAACAGAAAATTCAACCAGCCCAAAGCAAGCGGCAACAAGACTAACGGCTGCTTGCTAGGGAACTGTTGGCCAAACACGGCTGGTCAAACACAGTTTGCAAACAAACAGCATATAAGGATCTTCCCAAGCCATTTACAGCCAGCCCAGATCATAAATGAAAAGATGTCCAAAAGAAACATGCAAATAACAGAGCTGCACACACTAGAAAATGTCCGAACAGACGGACAGAGTATCAATAAGACTTGATATTTGTGAATGATCTTACTAAACCTCTAGAACAAATATGACACCTATAAATAAAGGATAAATTAGGATAACAATTTAAGAAACCAGCTGGGATAAGTGAATTCCAGTCGGAGTCCAGCAATCAATGCTACATCTCGGAAGGACAAATACAGTTATATTATTCGCACATCCTGTCAAGATAGAACTATTCATAAGAAACCAACATGAACCTCATGTAACTTCTAAATCTAATGATTTCCCAACTAAATTAAGTCTAACGAAGAAGAACCCAAATATAATCATAGGTCATGGTTTCTTCAAGTAAGCATATTATAGCAAAGATCAATAGACAAGAAATACATGATGGAGAGGTGCTGGCCATGGTCCTATTCTTCACTGTAACTAATCTCATTATGGTCTATTGGTACATATGTTCAACACACCACATCAAGGAATTACATGATATGAAGATATACATATATATATATATATATATACAGACACACAATACAAGACATAAGGCACAACAGATATAAATGAGGTTCATAGGATATACATAATAAGAAGGTGGACATGTTGGGATATTGATTCTACTTTTTGTCTTTGGTACATTTGGGGATTGGGAAAGTAGAAGGAAATAAAAGACATGGGGACGAGAAGTAGTTTCGGTCTTAAGTCATGCTCCTCGCGTTCTTTATTCGCGAGTAAAACGATAGACAACAGTGTGATGACAAGACAATCAAACAAGACATATAGACACACGATAAATCATTAAACATCTAGATTTATTATCATATGTCTATATTACTTTATTCACTAGCTGAACAAATGTAATCATAAAGGCTAAGGCGTCTATTCTCCATCATCTGGATTCATCTTTCGAATCTCCGGTACATTAATGTCAGTTCTTATAAGACTAAATTCATATTCATCAAACAGTGGGATTATACCCCCAGAAAACCAGGACTTGAATATGAGCATTACATTGCATGGCTTTATTATGATCTTCTTGCTACCAATGGCTGGCTTGTTTGCAGGAATTGGACATTATTCTGTACCTATCTTTCCACAGGATGGACACTATATTTGGCCCGGGCCTTTTCAAGCTGATACTGCTCCAGCTGCATTTCCCGCATGCGGTCTGTAACCAATGCCTCAGGCGGGTCGTGGACAATCTGTGTAGCATCCGAAAGGCAGCCGCTAGGCACTTTGGCG